TTTCTGAATTCATTTTTCTTTTCAGGACCTCTGACTTTCCAACACAGTTGCTTGTGAAATTAGCTTGGGTTTGTTGTATCATCCATGATATTCTAGTATCAACAATAAGGTTAGTCTTCAAAGTAACTTTTTATGTCATTTATTTATATGTAGTTAGTTGAAATTGTGAAAAAGTTTGGAGGATTTGAACTATTCCTATTGATATTTGATGTTTTATTAGACTGATTTGAACTATTCATTAAACAGAGCTAATTTTGAAAATATGTTAGAGAATGAGATGGGAACTCTTGAAGGCATCAACCCAATTGTTGGAAAAATTGGTTTTATAAGGCTTATTTTGGGCCAACTTTGAGCTCAAAATTGAGTGGGCCCTAAACGTCTTTTGGGGTGGGTCTGAAAAGGTGACGTGTTCCTTGCCGCATGGCAAGTCACATGGTGAAGACGGTTCGTCAAAACCATTTATGAGTGAATTGGAAGTTAATGTCGTTTTCAGGTTCGTGGAATGAACAATTAAAGCAGTAAATATGGGTTTCCTTGAAATGGGTTGTCCCACATTGAAACTTTAAGAGAGCTTTTGTGGGTATATATGCTCTTGGTGTACTAACTTGGGTTGGGCCCCAAGGGGCACCCCAAATTTGTAGAAGGGAGGAGTAATGGACAAATGGAACCTTAGCTCAAACCACCACACACGCTATAACACCCGCATCCTTTAATCCTTCGGAGTGTGTATTTAATTCCCTTATTTTTATCTTTTGGGAGTTTTGGAGTTGTTGAATGTTGGTTTTGGAGGAGTGTGATCCGATTTAAACTTGTTGGGTTTGTTTGTTTGCGCTTGTTCTTGTCAAAAAGTTCCTTAGGAACTTAGAAATTCTATTCTAGGGCCGACACCAGCCTTCCTAAGGGTCGACCCTTACCTATTGGTGAAGTTTCTAGAAGTGCTGTTGGAAAATAGAGTAGATACCAGTATGGGGAGAGTCGACCCTCTTATGTTACAGAATCTGTGTTTGCTGAAAAATAGGGTCGACCCCCTTGCTTGTGCCAGATTGCCTTTTCTACCTAAAGGGTTGACCCCCCTGCCCGAAGGGTCGACCCCTGCGTGTTTTTTTCAAATTTTTTGGGGTTCGAATGGGCCCTACCTTTGGGGGGTTTGGGGCCTATTATTTATTGACCTTAGGTTTACTTTTCTACTACTATAAATAGGCTTCAAACACATTTCATTTCACTTTTTCTCCTCTTTCCTCTCTCTCAAACCATGAGTTCTCTTCTTTCTCTCTAAACTCAAGCCTTTGGCACTAAGACCTCCAGATCTACTCACTTAGAGTGATTTTTTCACCTTGGTCCTTTGAGAAAAAGTGTAGATCTCATCAAGGGCTTCTTTTTGGTCCGATTGGTTCGTGGTTTCGTTGCTATTGATTTTGGGTCGTCATCTCTTGGCTTCAAGAGGTAGGGGTTTCTAGTTCTTTTTTAATACCCTCGTTTATGGATAGATTTGTGGTATTTTCTTTGCATAAATACAAAAGTTTATATTTTTATGCATATTGTGATGAATCCCGAGATTAGGGGTTAGGGTTTGAAGAGAGTTGGGTCTATTTGTTGGGTTATGATCTTAGGTCATGAGTTTGGGTGTAAAAGTAATAGAAGGGTTGGAATAAAATGTGTTTTTGTGAAAAGCTTTAATTTCTCTTAAAAACCCTAGTTTGGCTCATGAAGATGGTTAATGGTTTTGCGTCAATTAATAGTAGAATCATGAAATTGAGGTGTTAAATTACACATGTACAAGTTTAGTTGAAATTTTAAAGAATTTGAGAAATGTATGTAAAAGTTGTGATTGAACTCATAATGTTGATGTCTTAAATTATGTTATAATGTGAACCAAACTTGGGGGAAAGGAAATTACTAAATGTATGGATGATATGAGCTTTGTGTTGAAATGGTTATGTGTTATGTGAATTGTATTGAGTTATGTTGTGTTGAGTTGGTTGAATTGTGTTATGTGGAATTGAGTTGTGTTGGGTTGAGTTGAGTTGTGTTGGGTTGTGTTGTGGTTGGTACCCACACGGGGAGTTGAAAAATGATTTTTCGGTGCCCACGACCATCCGTATCATAGCCGGTAAATGTGGGGGATTGTTTTAAAAATTGAAAAATATTTTTTCGGTGCCCACAATTATCTGTATAATAGCTAGTAAATGTGGGGGTGGTTTTAATTCAAGGTGCCCAATTGCCCTGTCTACGCTTATCGCTGGACAAATGTGGGAAAAGTGTTTTTGGGTGTCCACATAGTCTTGCCGTATTGTAGTCGGCGAAAGTGGGAAAGTGTTTTTGGGTGTCCACACAGTCCTGCTGTATTGTAGCCGGCAAAAGTGGAAAAACAGATGGTTTTCGAAAATGTTTTGGGTGCCTACGTCCTGCCGTATAATAGCTGGCAAATGTGGGGGATGGTTTTTACAAAAGTTGAAAATGGTTTTCGGAAAAAGATATGGTTTTTAAGAAAATGATTTTTGGGAGTTCACTTCCCGCCATATAATAGTCGGCAAAAGATGGAATGTACTATGAATTGGTTGCCCGCTATCCTGCCGTATCAAGCCGGCAAAAGGTGGAATGCGTTGTGAAGTATGTTGAGGTCAGTTATGATATATGTGACTTGTGATGAACTTGTGAAATTACCATTTGATGTGTAAATTGGTATGGAATGGAAATGCATATAGAAATTTGAAACGAATGGATAATGAAATGGTAATTAGATAAGGGATTGGTGATAAAGAACTCACCGGGTTGTTTGTATCTATAATGAAAACTTAAGAGTTTTGCTTTATGATTAATTGAGAAATTGAATTAAAAGGATTATTATCCTTGGGATATGTTGAATTATGATTGATAACACACATGTGGATATGATGTAGTTGTGATATGTTGAATTATAGTTGATAATGCAAATGTGGATGTGATGTAATTGTGATTGGACTTCTACGTTAAAGAGGTAGAGCACTAAAGGATTGACAGGTGGGAATGGAGTGTTTGAGGGTTGTTTTGGGTATTAAGGGAACATGAACTTGAGGTATGGAGTTTTAGTGAATGCAATTAGTAAAAAGGGAGAATGGAAATAAAAAGAGGAATGTTAATAAATATATTTGTTTTCCCAGAAGGATTTATGGTTTTCTGATAAAAATGGATAGTTTTGATGGTTGAAGGTTTACTTTAAATGTTCAAATAAATTTTGAGAAAAAAGTACTCTATGTATGATATTTTGAAATTACAAAACATTACCTTACTATATGGTATCACCTTGCATGCATGATCATTTCTATCTATAAGAATGTTATTGTTTTAGATTTACGAGATTCCTACTGGGCAATTGTGCTCACCCTTGTTGTTTCATTTTTTTTACAGGAAGAGAATTTCGGATTGATTGGTTGAAGGATTAGGAAGTTCATGTGCATCTTGTGTGTAATCTCATTGTACCTTGATGTTTGTAGGTATTTATTTGTAACTCTGTAGTGGGAGCTTGATATGTATTATTATTATTGTTGTATTCATCATGAGAGAGAACATGTACTATTATTTTTCTATTACTCAAGGGTAATAGATATTTGTAAATGTTAAAAAAAAAAAAAATTGACCTAATTTTCAGGCTTTTGGTAATGATCCCGAGTAGTTAAAATTGGGGCGTAACAACTTGGTATCAGAGCTAACCGAGTTTGAAAACTTGGAGCTCGTGGGAAGTGGTTTTTACCACAATGGGTTGGCTGCGCTTGGTGAAGGTGTTTGTATGTAGAAGTAGAAGGCGTAGGACATTATGTGTTGCTTTGTGTAAGCATGGGTTGAGCTTCTTGGATAGAACTTGTGGCCAACTAACTTGCTTTGAGATCTCATTGGAAACACATCTGATCAACGTGGTTTCTAGTGGGAGTTCCTTGGAAGTTACGAGACAAGTGGTTATCTTTGTAGACTTGACTCAATTATGTGGTTTGTTGCTTGAATTTTGTTTATGTGCTATGTGACTATACGTTAGGTTGCTTTCTTGTTCTGGCAGGAAGAGTAAGTGTCTCAGGGAAGGGAAGTCGGTTCATTGATGTTAGATGTTGTTATTGAGATATTAAGAGCTGTCACGGAGTATATTTGAGATGAGGTGAAATCATTGGATGGTATGAGCTTAGTGTGAGTTATGTAGAATATTGTGAAAGGTTTGAAAAATGAGTGTGAGAATTGTGTTTCATGATGATGAGGGTGAGAAAGAGGGTTTGTGATATTTAAGTGTTGAGTGACATGGTTAAGGCTTGTACAGAGTTCATGGGTATGAAGGAAACTTGATAGTTAAATGCTATGAGTGGTTCTTAAGAAGGAATGTGGATTGTAATCTTTATAAATGGTGTTGTATGGGTGATGAATGTTTAGTGTGATTTAGAATTGGCGTTGCCATATCGGCGCAAGAGTGATGGGATTGTTACGAATAGTACTAGTACAACGTGTACTTGAGGAGTTTGGTAAAATCCTAGAAGTATGGGGAATGGTGTGTGGAGCTCCATCTCGGAGTATTTGATTTAGGGCAACCTGTGGATGTTTGAGTGTCAAATTTATGTTTTATTGAATGGTTAACCTATTGGTTGATATGGGAGTTTGAGTGACAAATAGTCACTTTGGAATGCTTAAGTATGAGTAGAGTCACAAGTTCGAAAAGTGTCTTGGAAAGGTTTCGTGAGTGTGGAGTATCCCATATGTAATGGCAAGGCTTGGATGAGGCTTGTTTCAAGTGGATGGAAATTCCTCGGGTTGAGGGTGAAACATCAAAAATTTCTTAGTCTAGTCTACATGTGAATGAAAAATGGTAATGATGAGTATGAATTGTAAGATGTTAAGGGGTGTGTGCTGAACCTCAGATAGGCACAATTGGTGCCAGTGAGAATGTCAATGTTTGAATTGTGAAAGTAGAAAATTGGTGAATTAGATTAAGTTGCATAGAGGAGATGAACTGTCACACCCCCAAACTCGCCCCTAAAAGTTTGGGCATGACCAACTTGATAACAATCTCAAAACTCAATAATTATGTAATATGGGGCCTGAACGGAAGCAATTATCAATTTAAAATAAACATCCATTGAGCTAACGCTTACATGCTAGGATCACAAAACAATCCATCAATTAGCCCAACACATAAGGAACATGCATATAAGAGACAGTTATACACACACATATATACAGTCCCATCCCCGCAATTGGGGGTATAACTAATGCATCGATAGTGAAGGTTATACACACTTTACTACATTTGACAAAAACCACTGACCAATGCTATGAGCAAAGAAAGGAACTTCACAAAAATGGGTAACTTCACTGAATTGCTTGGACACAGCGGGATGATCGAAGATAGCTGTTAGGCTGGACTAAAACTGACCTCCGGGTTGATTACCTACAGAGACAGACATAACACAGAGTGAGCAGGGCTCAGTGAATAATAGTATGTAGGAAACTCAAATGAATAAACATGAATCACAATGCATATATGTGCATAGGTCACATGTTTGATCTTGTTCTGTAGCCATTTCCAAACGGCCTTGGGCCCAATATTTACACAAAACGGCCTCAAGGCCAACATCATGTAGAACGGCCTCAGGCCCAAAATATTATACAAAACGGCCTCAGACCCACATATCAATAGTTGTCTAAACATTGGAGGGTAGATAGAACATCGACATGTACACCACCTCCCTTGGCCATAGGCCATGAATCATACTCAATTCAAATCACATTCGGTCAGTGAGACATCAGTATGTCCTCACCTTCCTCTACCTTAGATCTGTCCAGACTCAGTGGCTTATAACTGAACGGCCTCGGGCCCATCGTTAGCAAGGCAGAATGACCTCAGGTCCATAAGGATATCGTTACTCAATAATGCACATAAGTTTTCTAATTGTTCATCATGAGGAGACATAGTTTACTTACAAATAACAGAACTTTAATAATAATTATTAACAGTAAACAAAATATATCACTACAGTACTATTACTCACAGTGTTGTGGTAGAGCGATAGTCCCTTCCTGAATGTGACCTACACGTACATGAAACTCACAACTTAGTCCCTTTTCCTTTTAATCAATATCTGATTCGTTCAATCTCTATTAAATTACTAGCATTTTAAAAGTTTCAAACACACATTTTAACAATCCCAGAGGGTCAAACAGAAGAAATTGAGGACAAAGAATTTCTTCCCATGGGTCGCACGTGCGGGAAGGTGGGCTGCATGTGCGCCCCGCACGTGCATATATTGCAGTGCCTCAAAGTTCGATTCCCTTGTTTTCTGCACGTGCGAATGTGAGCCCCGCACGTGCGGTTGCGCCTCTGTTTGCATACGGTCGGTCGTTGCCTCTGTTTTTGAGCAGTTCGGATTTAGGCAAAATTTCACACAACCAACACATTATAGAGTAGAAAATGGGGAAATCAAAGCAATAATATGATATAACATCATACTAACATGAAACATAAACTCAATTAAGTCTTTGTTCTTTTCAAATTCATGATCACACTCAATATTCTTATGTTTGATTATATTTGATATGAGTTATATACATATATAACCATGTGAGTTCAACATGAAAAAAAAATCAAGGGCAAGATGTAATTCCTCCATAAAGCTCAAAATAACTCAAAATAACCAAGTGATACAAACATCCTTACTATTAGTCAATTATTGCACACATGGCTTCAATTACAAACCCTAATCACATGGATACAAACGAAACCCTTACTCAAGTCCAAGTGAGGGGTTAATTTAGGTGGATTGAACCCACCTTGAGCTCAAATCACCAAAATCTTTCTCCACCTTGAGCTCAAATCACCAAAATCTTTCTCAATTCTCCAATGTTCCCTCTTGTTGAAGCTTTCTCCTCCTGTTCTCCCTCTATAACTCTCTCTCTCTCTCTCTTAGGAGATATTTTTATATGATGAGTTTTCTAAGTTAAGAGTTTAAAAGAGGTAAATAAGAGTCATATAAGAGTTGACAAAAGAAATTTAATCAGTTTAATCATTCTGAATCAATTTTTTATAAAAATTCCTATTATGATCTAAAAATCATGATTATCACAATTATACAGTCAGTTTTGGATTATCAAGCCTCTAAGGCTCTCAATTTCTGATCCAAACGTTACAATTGTAACAGATTTTTCCCCTAATCGACAGATATAACTTACAATTAGATAATTTACACAATTAAACTTAACTTCACATGAAATTTCACATTTCTCAGATAAATGCACATAATAAGAGACCAAAAGCATACCAGAAAGCATATAGGAGGGTCGGGTTATTACACTCTCCCTCCCTTAAATAAGTTTGGTCCCTTAAACTTGTTTTACCTTATGATAGAAACAATTTTGGATACTGGTGTTGCATTTCCTATTCTTTCTCCCAAGTAGCTTCAGTCCCATAATGTTCTTGCCATTCCACTTTTACCATTGGGATTTCTCAATTCCGTAGCTGTTTCACTTGCCGATCCAAAATCCGGATTGGCTTTTCTTCATAGGTTAATTTGTCATCAAGTGTAATGTGATGATAGTCTACGACATGAGACGGATCTGGAAGGTAACCTCGAAGCATAGATATATGGAACACATTATGTACTTGACTCATACTTGGTGGAAGAGCAACTCGGTAAGCCACCGAACCCACTTTCTCCAGAACTTGGAATGGACCAACATATTAGGGTGTTAACTTACCCCTTTTTCTGAACCTTGGTTGCCCCTTCATCGGAGTGACTTTCACAAAAACATGACTACCTACCTCAAACTCCAAATCTCTTTGTCGGTTATCCGCATAACTCTTTTGTCTACTTTGAGCGGTTTTCAATCTTTCTCAAATAGTTTTAATCTTTTTAGTCGTCAGCTGTACAATTTCAGGCCCTAACAATGATATATCTCCGACGTCGGCCCAACACACGGGGGACGACATGGTCTTCCATATAAAGCTTCATAAGGTGCCATTCCAATGCTCGAATGGTAACTATTATTGTATGCAAACTCGACCAATGGCAGATGAATCTCCCAACTTCCCTGAAAATCCAAAACACACATTCGTAGCATATCTTCTAAGGTTTGTATTGTTCTCTCAGATTGCCCATCTGTCTGAGGGTGAAAAGCTGTGCTAAACTTTAACGTTGTACCCATCGCATCCTATAAACTTTGCCAAAATCTTGACACAAATTTTGGATCCCTGTTTGACACAATTGAGATTGGAACACCATGGAGTCTTACAATTTCATTCACATAAATCACAACAAGTATATCCACATTGTACTGAGTTTTCACAAGTAGGAAATGAGCGAATTTGGTTAACCGGTCTACAATGACCCATATAGAGTTCATACCCTGAGGAGTCTGTGGTAAACCTACAACAAAATCCATAGTCAAGTGTTCCCACTTCCATTTCGGAATTGGAAGGGGTTGCAGCAACCCTGTCGGTCTCTGATGCTCTGCTTTCACTTGTTGACATTGTAAACATTTTGAGACAAAGTCTACAATTTCCTTCTTCATATTGGGCCACCAAAAATTTTGCTTTAAATCTCGATACATCTTAGTATTCCCGGGATGTATTGAAAATCTTGAGGCATGTGCTTTTTCCATCAAATTCTTTTTAATTTATGACACATTGGGAACACATAATCTGCCTTGAAATTGGAGCACCGAATTTGCAAAATCGAATCCGGGTCTTGGTTTTGTCTCCAACTCATTACAGATCTTCTTTAAAGATTCATCTTCCATCTACCGCTGCTTGATTTCTTCAATTAATGTTGGTTGGGCCGTTATTGCTGCCACCATAGCGTCCCGTCCATGCATCACAATATCTACGTTCATCCTTTCTAATTCAAGTGATAAATCCTTTCGCTCCGTAAGCAAATTTACCATACCTTTTCGACTAAGTGCATCTGCAACTGTATTGGCTTTACCGGGATGGTAATGGATCTGTAAATCATAGTCCTTAATAAGTTCGAACCATTGTCGTTTTTGCATATTCAACTCCTTTTGTGTAAAGAGGTACTTGAGGCTCTTATGATCAGTGTATATTTCACAGGAAGTGCCATATAAATAATGTCACCATATCTTCAAAGCAAAGACCACCGCCGCTAGCTCAAGGTCATGGGTGGGATAGTTATTTTCATGAGGTTTAAGTTGTCGAGAAGCATAAGCGATGACACTCTATTTTGCATAAGTACACACCCTAATCCTTTATAAGACGCATCACTGTAGATCACAAATCCTTCAGTGCCAGACGGTAAAGCAAGAATAGGTGCTGTAGTTAACTTTGTTTTCAATTCCTGGAAGGCAAACTCCCGCTATTCTGACCATTCAAACAACACTCCTTTCTGAGTCAATTGGGTAAGTGGCACGGAAATTTTAGAGAAATCTTTCACAAACCTTCGGTAGTGCCCGACTAATCCCAAGAAACTACGCACCTCGGTCACATTAGTAGGGGTTGGCCAATTTACGATTGCTTCAATCTTGTGTGGGTCAACCGAGACACCCTGCTTCGTTATCACATGTCCCAAGAATGCTACTTCATGTAGCCAGAACTCACATTTCTTCAACTTAGCATACAACTTCTTGTTTCGGAGCGTCTGAAGAATTAGACGAAGATGGTGCTCATGAGCTTCTGCATTCTTTAAATAAATAAGAATGTCGTCAATAAATACCACTACGAATTCATCCAAGTATGGCTTGAAGACACGATTCATTAAATCCATAAATGTCGTCGGTGCGTTGGTAACTCCAAAGGGCATAACTAAGAATTCATAATGACCATATCGGGTTCGAAAGGCAGTTTTCTCAACATCATCGGCTTCAACCTTTAGTTGGTGATATCCAGATCGTAAATCAATCTTTGAAAAGACTTGTGCCCCTTGTAGTTGGTCAAATAAATCATCGATGCGAGGTAACGGGTACTTATTCTTGATTGTTACCTTGTTAAGCTCCCTGTAATCCACACATAATCGAAGTGTTCCATCTTTCTTTTTCACAAAAAGGACTGGTGCACTCCAAGGAGAAACGCTCGGGTGAATGAACCCCTTATCGAGTAAATCTTGCAACTGAACTTTCAATTCTTTCATCTCAACCGATGACATCCTATAAGGAGTTTTAGAAATGGGTTGAGTTCTGGGCACCACTTCAATTGTAAACCCGATTTCAAGGTCTACTAACTCTCCTGGTAACTCCTCCAAAAAAACATCCAGAAATTCACAGACAACTGGAATCATGTCAGTACCCCTATTCGTTGATTGCCCTTTCAAGACACTGCACAAATATCCCTGACCCCCTTTTTATATTAATTTGTATGGCTTCATTGCAGAAATTAGATAGGGTGGAGAAATCACTTCATGCCCTTAAAAGTGAATTCTGACTGCCTCGGTGGGTGGAAACTGATTTGCTTGGTCACACAATCAATAGTCGCTCGATGCTCACTTAACAAATCCATTCCCAAAACGATATCAAAGTGAGTCACGTCAAGCGATAGCAAGTTGGCATATACCTGAACATCCCCAATTAGGAGTTCACAAGCAAAATAAACAGAAGTACAAACCATAGAATGTAATGACCCCAAAAGTAATCCTTATTTAATTAGGGGTTAATGTGTTTTAATTCAACTATATCTATTGGAATTGAGAATGTTTTTATCTTATTTTGGGGTATGGATTGAGGTGGTGGTATGATGGTAAAGTAAGATTGGACCAAAGAGTATAATCCGGATAGTTATTCTACAATCAACCGTCACTCATTTGCCCTTTTCTTTTTCTACACTTTGAATTTGAATGTGAGGTTAGAACCATTGGAAAGCTTATTTCTGGGGCTTCAATTTGGACACAAGAACGACCTAGAACGGAGTCTCGATGAGAGAGTTATACCCGTTTGAAGTTTTTACATCTGTGCTGGAAGCAGAGCCGCACGTGCGGGGAATAGCGCCGCACGTGCGGGCTGTACGGGAGACAGCAACTCAAAAACGAGATTTTTGGCCCATTTCTTACATTTTCTTTTCCTCTCTTCTCCCCTCTTCCATGTCCGAAACCCTAGCTCCCAAAACCTTGATTTCCTCCACTTTTATCAACAAATCCACCATGGATCTTGCATCAAGGATGGAGAACAAGAAAGGGTCAACATTTCCGACCGATTGAAATTCGAATTTTTTGGAGAATTCTTCTCGATCTTTGCTCCTTTGCTTGATTCTTGAGGTAGGGGTCCTTATTCCCTTTCAATATTTGCATTCATTGATGGAATTATGGAATTTTGTGTATATACAAACAAAATCTATAGTTTTGAGCATATTATGTCCAACTTGAGAATTAAGGGTTTAGAGTTGGAGATGTTGGAAGTTAAATTGGTGGGTTAAAATGATAGATTGTGACTCCTAGATGTATAATCATTGGGAAAATTGGAATAAAAAGTAATGGGTTAATAAGTTTGTATTTTTCTTGAAATTTCAATATTTTCTTGAAACCCTAGGTTGATTAATGATGATAACCAATGATTTGGCCCAAATTGAAAGTAGAATAATGAAATTGAGATATTGAATTAGATATGTACAAGTTTAATTGGAATTTGGAAATGTTTGAAAATTATGTTTAAAATTTGCGAATGAACTTTGTTATGAACGTTGTAATTCATGCTTTAATGTAAAGGAAAAATTGGGGAAATAATTTATTAAGGATATGGATGACATGAACTCGGTTGTGGAATGTTGAAATGGGATTCAAGGATTTAGTTTGAATTATGTTGAATTGCAAATTGATGTGTAATTGGTATAAAGAGAATTAAACAAGTTAAGAACGGAATAATTATATGTGACCCGATTTCTATGTGTATTATGAATTGTGTAGGGTCAGCTACATGGACGGACCAAGCATCTGAACACTATGAGTAGAAGTACAGTAGTCGTACATTCAATGATCGTTAATGATTCTTATTGTTAACATTTTATTTCTTGCAAGTATGTTGATTAACAAAGAATACTAACATTATGTACAAGATATCTATAGTGATTCACGACGAACCAAGGGAATGTATAAGCACTATGGAATCATGGTATTCACGTATCTCTGAAATCATTCAATTTGTAAATGTGCTTATCTCTCATTAGCAATTATCAGGAACGTCCTGTTAAACTTAAGTTAATTATGTTAACTCGTGTGAATGATGTAACGGCTACCAGTAGTACTCTGCTAAGTACAAGCCAAATATGGTAACATATATGAACAAGCAAACAAAGGTGTATGCTTCTATATGCGATTAATAGATCAAGTGAACTACGCTATTTCTTAACGAATAATTAGCTAAGACCACGGATTGTTTTATACGTTAATACCTGCTAAGCATTATGATAAACAACGGATTGATTTACGGATGGCTCAACCCAAAGAGAGAATTCAATATCGATGACCTTGTCATGTAGCCCACATTATGATGTTACCTGTTCTATCTTTGCTAAGTGTACTGTAATGACACGATATAACAAGAAATGTTCTATGTTCTAATATGTTACGTTTTGGAAGTAAAGAACAGTTGGCCATACATGTAAAGTATTCATGACATCTGTAGCACACGACCCTTACCTGGGGGTAATAATACCGTGTTTTCAAGTATGTTACGAGTTCAAGTATGTTACGAGTATACGCATGTTACAAGTTCAAGTATATACAAGTTTACGTATGTTATAAGTTTAAGTCTGTTACAACTTTAAGTCTATTACAAGTTCACGTATGTTATAAGTTCAAGGACATTACAAGTTCTTAGTACCGAGGAACAAGAATGCTTTACATTGACTTGTTAGCACTATTGAAGTGCCAAGTATAATTAAGTTTGAATTCTGATTTTTGTTTATGAATTAAGCATAATGCATATGTATGAAATTGTTTCCGTTTATGATATGTATGGTTGGTCTGTAAAACCTGCTAATTACTGGTATGGAACAAAGTGCTACTTGGAACTAAGTGCTACATTGTGAGTCACTTCTAAAATCCATGTGAGCCACCTCTTGAGTCCATACATATATGAATGAGGCTTATAGCCAATCTGGGCCTATGGCCATTCTATATGATCTATGAGGCCAGAGGCCATTCTGTATTTTCGGAATGGAACAAAGTGCTGTACGGAACTAAGTGCTGCAATGCGAGTCATCTCTAGAATCCGTACGAGCCACCTCTTAAGTCCATACATATGTGCAAGTTATGAGGCCTATGGCCATTCCGGATAAGTTATTATAAATATGAAACAAAGTGCTACACGGAACTAAGTGCTATGATGTGAGTCACCTCTAGAGTCCATGTGAGACACCTCTTGAATTCATACACATATGTTCAAGGACTTTATGCCATATGATCAAGGGCTTCATGCCATATGTACAAGGGCTATATGCCAACATCTTTAAAAGTTTAATGCTAATATGTTCAAGGGTTATCGCCACTTTGTTCAAGGGCTTAAAGCCATTATGTTCCAAGATATTATGTTTCAAGTCAATATGTTTCAAGACTGGGCCTTAGGCCGTTCAAGAATTAATACAGAATCAATTAACCTTATGCCTCATTATTTATGTATGCATTGATATGTGTTATAATTCAAGTTGAGCATTGAATCATTTATGTGCTATTATTCACTGAGCTTCGCTCACTTTATATTATGTCTGTTCTGTAGGTAATCACTTTGGGAGTCCGTCTTAACCCCTGAAGCTCACCCTTCAGTTGTCAACCTCAGTATGCCCAGGCTCCCAGACCAAGTCTATGCATTTATGTCAAGTTTTGTTAAGATTTTGGCTTGCACTTTAATTATTTACCTAAGGTTAAAATGTATGTATATGACCCCTTTCTATACCAATATTTGTTTATGCGATCATGTATGTGTATGGGTATGTCTAAAAATAAATGACTATCACGAATGTGATCTTGGCATGTTAGGTTTAGCTCAATGGATGTTTTTCTGTGTTATTTTATTATATTAAATGCTTCTGTTCAGACCCCATATGATATGTATATCAGGTTAAGTGTCCGTTTCTGTATGGGTCATGCCCGAACTTTTAGGGGCGGGTTTGGGGCGTGACATAGAATCCCCCAGAGGTGAAGACACACACAATACATAAGGTAATAATTCCTCAGGTCTATCTAAATTTTGAACAAATATTTTTGACACAAAGGAATGGGTAGAACCAGAATCAAATAGCACATAAGCAGAATGACCGTGAACAGTAATTGTACCTGACACCACTGTTCCAGCATTTTGCACGTCACCCGGAACCAACGCAAACACTCTTCCTCGTCTGGCAGTGTCTTTATTATTGGTAAGCTTTGTAGCTAACTTTGTACTTGGAGCTGGTGTTGACCCTGCCGAACTTGTAGTAGTTCTATTTTCATTTCAATTTTTGGAAAGTCGTATATGTTTTATTACTCCTCGGATGTACTGGATTGTTATTGTTTGTTGTTATTACAAACGTATATGGTAAAGGTGTTGTGAAGTCACCGGATGGGTGACAAAAATTATTGCGTGGTGGTTGAAACTCAACGGGTAAATGATGAGAATAATTTGGCAAATGAACGTTTCGTTTCTTTGTGTTGTGACTTGGAATGGCACGGTCGACTAAATGCTAAGAATTTAATCAAAGTTGTGTTAATGAATGGCTTGTTGATTGAGCGGAAACTAAATGTTGATTGATGGTAAATGTAATTGCTATGAAAATTTTAGATTTACAAATGTACTTTGATGATAAATGATGAAGATGGGACACCGTTTGAGAAAGAAAATTTTATATATACATATAAATGTAAACGGTTTTTATTGTCTTATCTTTGAATGTCGGGCTGTATAAATAATTGGAAATGTTGTTAAGCTTTGTGCGAATTGAAATTGTTGTGATGGACCATACATTGTGGTGTGCCATTGGCTTTTGTTAGTGTCAGCCGAATTTTTGGTTTAATGGTGGTTTTCATTTTTCTTCCAAATTGGGAATTGGTTGTCTGGTGGTAGTGGTGCACGTTGTTGCTGGTTGAAAAGTTGTCGATTTTCCTTGGACGTACTAGTAATTGGCGTTATTCCATGTCTCTTGGACTTCAATGAGTATGTTGGTCGAAAGAGTGATCATGATCTCTTTCTTGTAATTCTTCTTGTTTGGGTGTCCTAAGGGCATTGCGATATTGAATCCGAATCTGGGAATCTATCCCAAGTGTAGAACTAGTTATAGGTGAGAGGTTGTGTTTCTTATTGGGTTTATACTACCTTTTGCTTGGCCTTCTTCTATTTCGGGGATGAAATTTCCTCAGGTGGGGAGTTTGTAACACCCGTATCCTTTAATCCTTTGGAGTGTGTATTTAATTCCCTTATTTTTATCTTTTGGGAGTTTTGGAGTTGCTGAATGTTGGTTTTGGAGGAGTGTGATCCGATTTAAACTCGTTAGGTTTGTTTGTTTGCGCTTGTTCCCGTCAAAAAGTTCCTTGGGAACTTAGAAATTCTATTATAGGGTCGACACCAGCGTTCCTAAGGGTCGACCCTTACCTATTGGTGAAGTTTCTCGAAGTGTTGCTGGAAAATAGGGTAGACATCGGTCTGGGGAGGGTCGACCCTCTTATGTTGCAGAATCTGTGTGTTGGTTGCTGGAGAATAGGGTCGACCCCCTCCTATCTAAAGGTCGACCCCCTTGCTTGTGCCAGATTGTCTTTTCTACCTAAAGGGTCAACCCCCTTGCCCGAAGGGTCGACCCCTGCGTGTTTTTTTTCAGATTTTTTTGGGTTCAAATGGGCCCTACCTTTGGAGGGTTTTGGGCCTATTATTTTATTGACCTTAGGTTTACTTTTCTACTACTATAAATAGGCTCCAAACACATTTCATTTCACTTTTTCTCCTCTTTCCTCTCTCTCAAACCGTGAGTTCTCTTCTTTCTCTCTGAAATCAAGCTTTTGGCACTAAGACCTCTAGATCTACTCACTTAGAGTGATCTTTTCACCATGGTCCTTTGAGTGAAGCTCACCCTTCAGTTGTCAACCTCAGTATGCCCAGGCTCCCAGACCAAGTCTATGCATTTATGTCAAGTTTTGTTAAGATTTTGGCTTGCACTTTAATTATTTACCTAAGGTTAAAATGTATGTATATGACCCATTTCTATACCAATGTTGGTTTATGCGGTCATGTATGTGTATGGGCATGTCTAAAAATAAATGACTATCACGAATGTGATCTTGGCATGTTAGGTTTAGCTCAATGGATGTTTTTCTGTGTTATTTTATTATATTAAATGCTTCTGTTCAGGCCCCATATGATATGTATATCAGGTTAAGTGTCTGTTTCTGTATGGGTCATGCCCGAACTTTTAGGGGCGGATTTGGGGCGTGACATATAATCCCCCAAAGGTGAAGACACACACAATACATAAGGTAATAATTCCTCAGGTCTATCTAAATTTTGAACAAATATTTTGGACACAAAGGAATGGGTAGAACCAGAATCAAATAGCACATAAGCAGAATGACCGTGAACAGTAATTGTACCTGACATCACTGTTGCAGCATTTTGCACGTCACCCGGAACCAACGCAAACACTCTTCCTCGTCTGACAGTGTCTTTATTATTGGTAGGCTTTGTAGCTAACTTTGTACTTGGAGCTGGTGTTGAGCCTGCCGAACTTGTAGTAGTTCTATTTTCATTTCAATTTTTGGAAAGTCGTATATGTTTTATTACTCCTCGGATGTACTGGATTGTTATTGTTTGTTATTATTACAAACGTGTATGGTAAAGGTGTTGTGAAGTCACCGGATGGGTGATGAAAATTATTGCGTGATGGTTGAAACTCACCGGGTAAATGATGAGAATAATTTGGCAAATGAACGTTTCGTTTCTTTGTGTTGTGACTTGGAATGGCACGGTCGACTAAATGCTAAGAATTTAATCAAAGTTGTGTTAATGAATGGCTTGTTGATTGAGCGGAAACTAAATGTTGATTGATGGTAAATGTAATTGCTATGAAAATTTTAGATTTACAAATGTACTTTGATGATAAATGATGAAGATGGGACACCGTTTGAGAAAGAAAATTTTATATATACATATAAATGTGAACGGTTTTTATTGTCTTATCTTTGTATGACGGGTTGTATAAATAATTGGAAATGTTGCTAAGCTTTGTGCGAATTGAAATTGTTGTGATGGACCATACATTGTGGTGTGCCATTGGCTTTTGTTAGTGTCAGCCGAATTTTTGGTTTAATGGTGGTTTTCATTTTTCTTCCAAATTGGGAATTGGTTGTCTGGTGGTAGTGGTGCACGTTGTTGCTGGTTGAAGAGTTGTTGATTTTCCTTGGACGTACTAGTAATTGGCGTTATTCCATGTCTCTTGGACTTCAATGAGTATGTTGGTCGAAAGAGTGATCATGATCTCTTCCTTGTAATTCTTCTTGTTTGGGTGTCCTCAGGGCATTGCGATATTGAATCCGAATCTGGGAATCTATCCCAAGTGTAGAACTAGTTGTAGGTGAGAGGTTGTGTTTCTTATTGGGTTTATACTACCTTTTGCTTGGCCTTCTTCTATTTCGGGGATGAAATTTCCTCAGGTGGGGAGTTCGTAACACCCGCATCCTTTAATCCTTTGGAGTGTGTATTTAATTCCCTTATTTTTATCTTTTGGGAGTTTTGGAGTTGCTGAATGTTGGTTTTGGAGGTGTGATCTGATTTAAACTCGTTGGGTTTGTTTGTTTGCGCTTGTTCCCGTCAAAAAGTTTCTTGGGAACTTAGAAATTCTATTATAGGGTCGACACCAGCGTTCCTAAAGGTCGACCCTTACCTATTGGTGAAGTTTCTCGAAGTGTTGTTGGAAAATAGGGTAGACATCGGTCTGGGGAGGGTCGACCCTCTTATGTTGCAGAATCTGTGTGTTGGTTGCTGGAAAATAGGGTCGACCCCCTCCTATCTAAAGGTCGACCCCCTTGCTTGTGCCAGATTGTCTTTTCTACCTAAAGGGTCAACCCCCTTGCCCGAAGGGTCGACCCCTGCGTGTTTTTTTTCAAATTTTTTTGGGTTCGAATGGGCCCTACCTTTGGGGGGTTTTGGGCCTATTATTTTATTGACCTTAGGTTTACTTTTCTACTACTATAAATAGGCTCCAAACACATTTCATTTCACTTTTTCTCCTCTTTCCTCTCTCTCAAACCGTGAGTTCTCTTCTTTCTCTCTGAAATCAAGCTTTTGGCACTAAGACCTCTAGATCTACTCACTTAGAGTGATCTTTTCACCATGGTCCTTTGAGAAAAAGTGTAGATCTTGTCAAGGGCTTTTTTTTGGTCCAATTGTTCGTGGTTTCGTCGCTATTGATTTTGGGTCGTCATCTCTTGGCTTCAAGAGGTAGGGGTTTCTACTTCTTTTTCAATACCAACGTTTATGGATAGATTTGCGGTATTTTCTTTATATAAATACTAAAGTTTATATTTTTATGCATATTATGTTGAATCACGAGATTGGAGGTTAGGGTTTGAAGAGAGTTGGGTTTATTTGTTAGGTCATGAGTTTGGGTCATGAGCCTGAGCAGCCTGTCATGCATGCAGCCTGGGTAGCCTGGCATGCACGCAGCCTAGATAGCATGGCTTGGCATGCACACGGCCTGGCTGGCGTGGCCTGTGCGCATACTGCGCACACGGTCTTTTCACCGCGGGCGTCGATTGCGGGCACATTCGCGCACGCCTTCGCACGTAATGAACGTCTAATGATAAGAATAACAGCCAAGACCAAGGCCAAGGCCGCGTGGCCAAGGCCAAGGCTAAGGCAGTAGCCAAGGCAAGGCCAAGGCCGCAGCTAGGGCGGCCTAGCCAAGGCCGCGTGGCCAAGGCCAAGGGTACAGCCTGCAGCCTAGGCAGCCCAGCCAAGGCCGCAGTTGGGGCAGCCCAGCCAAGGCCGCATGGCCAAGGCCAAGGCCGCAGCTGGGGCAGCCCAGCCAAGGCCGCAGCCAAGGCAGCCCAGCCAAGGCCAAGGCCACAGCCAATGTAGCCCAACCGTAGCTAAGGCCAAGGCCAAGGCCGCAGCCTTGTCCATGCCTGCAGCATGCCATGCCACAGCCTTGGCTAGCAACATAGAATGCCAAGGCCTTGGCCAGCAGCATGCCATGCCATGCCACCGCCAATAGCTTGCCATGCCAACGCATTGGCTAGCAGAATGCCTTGCCAACGCCTTGGCCAGCGGCATGCCTTGCCACAGCCTTGTCCAGCAGCATGGCATGCCATGGCCTTGGCCAACAACATAGCATGCCAAGACCTTGGCGAGCATGCCTTGTCCCCCGGGTAATTGCCATTAGGTTTGGCCTTGACTTACGTACAAGTTGCCTTGCGAAATGCATGTCCCTCGGGTAATTGCCATTTGGTTGACTTTGACATGTGAACGAGTTGCCAGTGCTTTCCTAGTGGAAGCTTGTTGCCAAAAGTATGTCCCTCGGAAGTTGCCTGTCGCGTTTGTTATTTGCATTTGCGCTAACCGGTACTTGCTTGGCTTCTCTAAATGTTTTTGCACGTTCGTCGCGCTTCTTAGTCCTTCGGGGTGTGATTCGTTTTGGGGGGTTGGTGCATAGTGTACGGCGTGGCGCGTGAGTTGTGTTTGGTTTGTGCGAACTCCACCTTGGGAATCTATGGGGATGCTGCCGACCAGATATTGGCCTTAGAGACCACCTGCCGACCATTTTTTATGGTGAAAACCAGAAAAAGTGGTCGGCCGACCAGATAAACGGCCGACCAGTTTTTGCTGCTGGTTTTTGGTTTTCTACAATAGATGGCAAGAAAGGGGTATGGCAAAGTATTTGCAACACATGTATGCGCGACAACCCTCCCTATCATTACATAAGCTCAAGGGAGTGTAGGTTTGGACCCTCAGGCCACCAATCACGCATCTCGATGCATGATGGCCGAGGGGCCGAATTGCGCAACTCAATATGCAATGAATGCACATACAAACTTGTGTAATAATTAGTTGTAGCTTGTTATTCATTTAGTTGTGTAATAACTAGTTTAATTAGATTAGCTTAGATTCGCTAGTTGGTTCTGTATTATTCATTCCGACCCTTCGTCGAGAGGGCACAACTGTTGTAGATAAGTGTGCGTGTGTGTGATGCATGTCTTCCAACCCCCATTTCTTTCTCATTTTATTTTACCAGCTTACGATGGTTAGTTTTAGGGCATGTTTTAATTAGCATCCTTATGCTCGCACGTTTACATCTATTCATTTGTCTTGCATGCACCGGGCTCGGCGCATCATACTAACTTCATTGTATTTCAATTCCTGTTTGAATACATGTATCAAATTACATTTCGCATGACATTTTAGAATAGCTGAGCCTATCTTAGTTGCATTTTGTATGTGTTGCATTAGGCATTTTTGACATAACTAGGATCAATGGGGAGCTCGCAGGCCAGCACCGGGAGCGCGCAGATGTCGAAGCACGCCCGAGGGTGCGCGCTGCCAGCCACGATCGGGCCGAAGGCGTCTCCGCGGGCTTTTCGACTGCCTGGGCTTTGGCCTCCCCCCCGATCCGCACCGGTCCATGCCCCGAGTCGATCGGCGGACCGGCTGGATGCCGTTCCACATCTGACCGGGTGCATCGCCAGCCCCCATCCGCTTTCCTCTCGACAATTTCAAGCACTCTTTGACTCTCTTTTCAAAGTCCTTTTCATCTTTCCCTCGCGGTACTTGTTTGCTATCGGTCTCTCGCCCGTATTTAGCCTTGGACGGAATTTACCGCCCGATTAGGGCTGCATTCCCAAACAACCCGACTCCCGGACAGCGCCTCGTGGTGCGACAGG